TCGAAAAAATAGATTTTTCATATGTTTTACTATGTGATCGACAAAAATTACGTAGACTTTTGTCCAGTGAGTGTATTCCCAACTGCTCTAGTTGATTTTTCCTCGTTTCTTCAATCTTCTGTTTGTCAACTTCCCAGACGCCCATAAGATTCGAAATTTTTTCGGATTAAATATAAACTTTCCACAGCTCCGCATTACTATATAGAATTCATGATGCGGGACTAGTGTATTATGATATTCATGACAGAAACATAGTTTTGCATGATGTATATCATATAGAGGATCACGTATCCATTAATATGCGATTTTGGTCTCTCACGATCAGTGAATTCGTGCGAGTCAAATCTGAGGCGTTTTTCCTTTGTTGCACCGGACACCCGCAAATTACTCAGAAATCAGATGTGTATTCCTTTGGTACTATTATGTAATTTATTGCTACTGGCGAACACCTTTTAAAGATAGGCAGTTGGATGCCTGATTGTGTACCTTCTAGTCTCGGGAAGGTGAATAGATTCGGTTCTGTTCATGTGAACGAAGTCAATCTACTGTTTCTGATTTAGTGACTTAACACTCTTTAAATACATTTGTAATTCCTTTAAGAATTTACTTCTCTTCCAAATGTTTTCCATGATGTCAGTTTCCATGCACATTACTGTTAGCTGTCTTTGCCGAGGTAGATCATTTGAAAATATTGAGATCAAAGTATCTAAGTTTATGAATAAAATGTGTTGCGGAGCTCTGTTCATTGTACAGCACCTGACCAGACGATAACATTGTTTTCTGACCCAACCAATTCTTTTCCGAGGATAAAGCCTGCTCGAAATCATCTGATTGAAGAAAATTTCTGGCCTCACAAACACAGTAATGCTCAATTAATACTTGCCTGTTACATACTACACAGAACTAGCCCCAAGCACACGTCTCAATGTTGCAAAGAATTTCAGCGCTCAAAATAGAATTTATTAATCTCAAACGCAATTCCCCCAGATTTAGACAAACTTTAATAACATCCGTGGAGCACAATTTCCATATTTTCTCGTCGAGATTCGTCCTTGAAAGCCTTTTGATCTTAGCCAAGAATCATAGAGCAAATTATTCTTAATCATGGATTTCATGCGTACGAGGTCAGCCGCGTACAATGTTTGTAAGTTACTTATTACTTCAAATGTTTTTTTCCAAATAAGCTATATGGCTTAGGACTGTCCTTTTCAAAAATGTCTTTGTCTTTTCAGCTATTTCTTTAACATATTGAAGTTCTTGAACAAGATCAACACTGTGCTTAGTAACTAGCAAAAGCAATATTTGTGCTAGCTTTTTGTTGTCCGGATGCAATTCAATGCTCGCTTCGAGACGCAAGAGGAATTGTCTCATTAACTGAGGATCATCAATACGAAACTTCTGGTCAAGGGTAGCAATAATTGTCTCTACAATTGCTTCAGAGAAACATTTGTCGGATATATTGTTTAAATCGGTCATCGTGTGTTTGCTCGATGTTGAATGTGTTTCCTGTGTAATCACCCTTATTCATCATAGTAAATCGCGCGTGTAGTAGTTGATTAGACCTAATAATGTGTATGAAACGCGAGAAAACTTGCATGCATATTACCTCAGAATAGCCAGTATAGATATTTCGTCCAAGCCTTGCTTATTAACTTTTTGTATTATATCGAGTTGTGGGCGACCTTTTGACGCGTAGGAACAAAATGGATTTTAGCTTGATATGGCTACTGTGCGTCTACACGTCGGTAACGATTATACATGCCTATGCTGTTTGCATCGTTCAATAAGGGTAGCAATAGCGCTTCGACAAGAGCTCTGCCTTTGATGCGCGCAATGTTCAGAATACTAGAAATAAGGCTTCTAGAAGGCATAGAAACTAATTGACGAATCTATAATAATAGTAAAAACTCGTTAAAGCGCAAAAGTGAGTCTAACCTTTCCCGACCTTGTGACATACTTTATCCAAGTAAGCCAGCCTGAATAATATAACGTAATTCTGGAATATGATGTCATCCCGCTTAACCAATTCATGACAGAACACACGAAGCGTATCATCGCTCAGTTGGGACATATCAAACTGCTTGCAAAGCTTTTGAAACTGAGGCAAGAATAAAAAGCGTTATGCGGACGGAGAATGAATGATGAACGAATATAAAAATGTCCGTTACCTGTACAGGTGGAAGTCGAATAATTGGATCCATTTCTTTCAAGAGTTCGTTGCAAATGTCCGCGCCACTAGACTTGTTTTCTAGACACTCTTTCAGCCTGAGAAACTTTTCTGGTTCGATCAAATCTTCGTTGACAGTTAATTGATGACTTATTTCAACTGGGAGGTCAAATTGACGGCGAATTGTTATTCAATCTCGGGCTTATCTAGAGCTTCGACACTTTGATACTTACTGTCAGGATCCCCCATATTATCCTCTATCGGAATGGGGATGCGTGGGTGGTCTGTTCTCCCTTGTTCTTGTTCTTGTTCTTTTGCACGAATCAATTGACTTGACGCGTACATAAAATTCGTTAAGCTAGTATACTGTAGATAGTCATCATAATATAATCTCATACGCAAAAGGATATAAATATAGGTTGTACGTTTTTTGTTTCATCCCCTTCATTAACTTGATTGCAAAAAGTTTAGTAAAAAAACGAGCATTAAAAGAGATAGCAATAAATAGCATACATACATTGGGAAGTTATTATTGTTTCCTCCGATGAAATATCAAATAGTTGTCCATACGTGAACATTTTCTTGTGCACAGCAAGCTTCTCTTTCCATTGTAACAAGATCTTTCTGTTTACATCAACCATACTGATACCAATCACCCGTTCTGTAAGGTTGAAGCGATCAGTATGACGTTTCACGTTGGCGAGTGGGTAGAAAAGCCAATGATTGGCCGATGACTGTCAGACAGCATAAAAGAAAACGCTGGGTTGCAAAAGTTTTGCTTTCTAACCGATATAAAACAAAAGCTGCCTGCCATACGCTACTGTGCTTATCGTATATCTGGCATTGTCTTTTCAAAACTGGACATATTGCCTTAAATTTCAACATTATTGGTTGAAGTGGCTGCGCATACTTAATCGTATATATAAAGAACTCAAGTTACAAGCATGGCCCGTAAATTGTCCCAATGGCCCATAACGATAAGTATGTGAATATTTATGGAAACATTGTCAACTGTATCGAACGTTAAATCCCGCAAGTGTTTACAGTAATATATTTCGTAATACAGGGACGGAGAAAGAACGCCAAGCATTGGCAACAAGTCTAACATGTTTACATGAGCTTTAAACATTCCAAAGAGTTACAGGTTTGATATCTTAAACAAGTCTCTATGATTATAATTAGTATTTATAAATTATTAATAACTCTTTTAATTATCCATTAACAGACTTGGCTTATCCGCTACGCCAACAAATTATGTCTACATCAAGACAGGACAGCATACATTGATCCAGCATCTTTTAAGAGTGCTGGAGGAAATCCTGTACAAGTTTACGTGCAACTGATATCACGTAAACTCAAAGTTTTGTAATTCCCCATTTCTGGAACACCTGAATGGTTCGCTTGAACCATGTTCAAAAGGTTGAGGTGGGGGGGGGGGGGCTAGTAAGAAGCCATCATGTGAAGAAGTATATGAACGATTTAAGCTTTAGAATATCAATTTTTTAATTTAGAAAGTAGCACATTTTAAACATTGGGAACCGATTTCTCTCTGACTTCTTTGAGAACTGAGAGTGATTGTGTTTGCTAATGACCAAAAAAAGGTCAGATTTACGTGCGGCTTACTTGGCTCTACACGGCTTATGCATAGAACATGTGCAATTTCATGCATACACGTGTAAGCGATGTAGTCATTCTACCTGAAAGTTTAAATTGATACGAATTACAACGTAAAGAACATTCTACAAGCTCATATGTATTAAGCAACAGCCTTTCATCAACTAGTAATAACAAATCATTTTTTATTGTGAACGAACATTTGATATATTTTAATGTCTCATTTTTCCTTTGGTTAACCGAGTTATTGGAAATTACAGAACTAATTGGATTTAATATTCCTATACTCGTGACGATAATCATAACCAATAACACCTGACGTTCAGCCAACGAAAAATGCAATTTCTGACAACGTTCTCATTCTCATGCCTTTCTTGACGTTCAATCTACGGAGTAATATTTTTATAGACTGTATTGTTATTAAGCATCTTGTTTGAAGTACAAAGACAGATACCCAGGTTGTGCTGGTACATGTAATTGCGTTGGTTTGCTGTAACTACAATGAGCAGCATATTACATTCCAGCCATGTACTGCATCATTATCTCATCCGCATATAATATAATAAACATAGATGGCGCACACCACTAACTGAAATCAAGAATTATGAACAAAGCGAAAGACATCTGTCGATACATTGTAGTCATAATTAGCGGTCTTCTTTTTACGAACAACTCGTCAGCATTTACAATTCCATCGTATCATGTCAACGATATTTCTGATGGCCTGGTTTCATTGTTTCATTGTGTCGTGAAATTGTCGCGTCCGTTTGTTTTTCTTTTCTTTTCTTTCGTTTAAAACTTCTCATTGAATACATAAACTGGATATGTCATATCTCTCACTTCAAATTCGTGCATCAAAGCATACACACGCTGTAAACCAGTATGTCCAGATCAGTTGAAGGTATACAAAGAACACATGATCGGCAGTAACACGTGTTCGAGTTGTTGATAGAACATCGAGACTCGTGTGATTTCTACAATTGTAGAATATGTATGCATTTCATTACGTATACAAACAGACTGTCGACTTTAATACTGAATAGGCATGTTGGTAAACTTGTCCAGATAACAAAAAGGAAACATACAAGACACAAAAATTATATTACATTATACATATAATTACATCTAAGACAATTCGATCTACTTCCCGTTAACTCTATATAAACAAATGACGAACAAGATAACCAGCCTATTCCCCCAAGTTGTCAGTTCGTTAGTTTATTGGTTGAGCAAACGATTAATTGCCATTTGTCGGCGAATTCTATTCGCTTCTTTTCTTCTCGTTCCGTACCAATAATTTCTTACCGTTCGAGAGGTACGCCCGGGAATCTTTGAAGCGATCACACTCCATTGAGGCCCATAATCGCAATATAAGAGATCAATCTTGGTCCGTTCCTCGTCGCTAAGAGGGTCGCTATTGACTAGTGTAGTAAACCATAATATATTAATAACAAGCAGAAACAACAGACCAAATCAAGTATATTCAGCACACGTATGACTCACTTCCAGGGCGTATTGCATTGTTCCACCTGATATAAATAAATGGTGTCAAACAACGATTTCAGGTTAGATTACCAGTAAAAAGCACATATTAATATCTGCCCAAAACGTAACTTACCGTTCTGAACATTGTTTTGATGTTTTGGTGGCCATAATAATTGATATTTTAGTCCACGCAGAACCTAGTTCACGCTGAAGTTCACAGAGAGTCCTGTCCTCCTGTGCAATATCATTAGCGTTGTGTGAGCAGCGAAATGAGCGTTAGTTGACTGGTATGAATAAGTAAATTACAATAATTGGTATACAAATATAAAAGTCCTTACTTTCTTCGTCCAATATTCTCTCATTAAGAATCTATGAAGATTTGTAATAGCGTAATGTTCTCTCACTTGTGCAGATTATCGTTTCTTCTCTTAATCTTTTTTATTTTTACTGCTAGTTGATACTGCCGCTATCTTGGGCAGGGGACAAAAACTTGTCAGCTGTTCGACTCAGTGACAAAACACTTGGCAATGTGATCGGGTTGTGGGTTGAATTTCCGACACTTGACAGCTTAGTCGCGGTAATGTAGTAAGACAGCTTATTTTTTATTAAATCAATAATAACGAGTTCAGTAACTTATTATAATTGTTTACTGCGTGAAAGAACTCGTTGGGCTTGGGAATCGTAGTTGTTTAAATACTATTATCATGTCGGTATGTTTAGTCCTTTAAATTCTCCAAAAATGACCGAATTTCGGATCGAGTCCCGAACGACCCCCAAATTGGATTATGGTATGGAATGCAGAAATCTGCCGAAATACCAATCAGGATTTTATTCGGTTCCGAGAAACGGTGTATAGTCCGGAATACTCCATATGGAATTTTGTCAGATTACCGACCGCGCGACGTAGAAGATAAAACAGAACTCGGAACTTTTTGTAAACGGTGATTCGTTCTTATGATTGCTGCGGTACTAAGAGTAGTACTGTACTAGTACTGCATGATGATCATTTCGAATATGGGATAGCGCTTATCAGTGCGTTCAAGTGCAAGCTGAAAAACGTCCGTGACTTAAAGCGGTAATTTTTGTGACTCATAAGTATCTGTAAAGTCCGCTTCCTTGCCAGTCCAATTGCGTAAAAATTTACTTCCAGCCCTGCATTGAAATGAAATCATTAGTTATCATTATTTCATGTACAGTCTGTGTATCAGATACCAGTCAGATGAACACAACTATTTGTAACCATCCATAGACAACCAAAGCCTTTCTTCTTTCACCAGATATGTGTAGGCAGTCTTTAAGTATACGATTCAAAGAGTCTCGCATGGCAATTGCCAGCTTGACTTTGTCAAGATATCTCTTCTTTCGACACGACGAAGGAATTCCGAAGGGACCTAAGCCGCCTGCTACTTCGCCAAACAAGGCCTCAAATTTGATAAGTGTCTTTAGTAGGGTTACTTTCATATCAACTTTTCTATGAAGCTGCGCTCGCTGGAAAGGATGGAATTTCTAGCGTCGCTTGTTGCAATTGATTGGATCTCGCCCCTAGATGGACAAAAATAAGCATTATACTGTACTTAATACATCCTATGAGAAATATACTTACCACGAATCCTTAATCGTATCAGATGAAATTATAGAACGAACAGAGGGAAAGTCGATATCATCTTTAATTCTTCCTCTGTCATGGCACCACGGAACGAGTACATATTCGCTTTTCTGTGAAATGATCAGACGACACCAAAGGAATGTTGTATACATAAAACACAAAACGAGCTAAATACATGAATTGTATGTTGTGATGAAGCTTCTTCAATTGATCATTATCGTCATCGTGGGTGATTTCGCAGTTTCCATTAAAGTACTCTTGAAGATTATCCTTGGTCAAGTCCAAAATACCCCAATAGGCAGGCCTAAAGGATGATAAGCAAATTGGAGATAAATGATCAGCACACTTATGTATTATTGAATATCGATGAAATAACCAACGTGGTGATCCGACGGCTTTTCGGGACTTTTGCCTGGTTACTTCTAAAATAATGGCTGGCGTCATTAGAGCGTGCCACTCTGTTGGTGCCTAACGAGCATCATACATAAGTAATGAGCTATGTGATATAAAATCTGACAACAAACAAATTTACCCCTGAAGATTCAATAGTGGGTAACGGTAGCCTTTATTCTTCATTAAGGTTGGTTTCGTCAATACTCTTAATGATGATTCGTCAAACAAGGATAAAAGGCTGTCATCTTCCATCCATCCAAGACTCCCATCCTCTCGTTTCCTTTTTTATTTTACAAACTATGTTCGGCTCAACATTAAAATAAACATAATAGACCGGTTCGGATGAAAGATTTAAAGGATAGGAGACAACAGAAACACTCACCTTTGTATAAGTTTTACTTGTTTTGTGATCGGATTCGTCATCTTCATCGTCACTACTGTATATAAAACGTGAAAATTGAGAATTATCAAAGGAACATCATTGCAATAACTATATCTACAAAGAGTCTACGTAAGTACCAGCTGTAGTTTTAAATTTCGTTGTCAGTAACTGGATATGGTTAGGGTTTAGGGTTAGGTTGTATCTTTGCAAGAGCGTCAAATGGATTCTTTTACGAGTTGCATCTTGAAACTTACAAATCTGTTATATATTGCTATTGTTAGTGTGTGAGCGACTCTTTCGATCAAATGTTTGCAAGCTGGGACCGCATGGTTTGAGCCGAAAGTGGACTAGCAAGCGCGTGATCTCTGGGGTAAGGCACAATCCCCATTAAAATATGATTTCGAATCAAATGTTCGCAAGCTGGACCACATGGTTTGCGCCAAAAGTGGACCAACAAGCGCGTGATCTCTGGTAAGGCACAATCCATTAAAATATGAGCATCAGATTACTGGTTGTTGAGTTAGTAACGATTAACGATGAAAATATTTCGCATCTAACCTTTATGTTCTTAAACCAGACGTGTTATTGACGATGGCACAATTCTTAAGAGGGAGTAACATGATGAGCGGACAAGACTTACAGATCTTGGGAGTGTATGTTTCGTGGGCTTTTGTCAACACTCTTTAAAAACGGTTAGAAGTTAAAAATAGAAAAAAATCAGCAACACGTAATGTTTCGGATAACAGTTTGCGGATAGCCGTCTTCTTATCATCGATAATTTTGGCAACTGCATTTAAAAGGTTGAAGATCCTTTCCGTGCACACTTTGGCATCCGTGAGCCAAAAACCGAAACTATTGTCATCTCTGCGGTCTTTTCTGAATCAGCCAACGCTATTTCACATACGGATCGTCATGAGCAGACATCGAATGGAAATCGCAGATCCTACTAAACATTTCCGTACTGACCCGCATATTTGGAATGTTTGCGTAATTGACTTGAGAGAGATGACTTACAAATATGGCAATATATACGACGTAGCTGGTAAATCATTTCATGCAACATTACGCATGATGTTTCAATTCAAACTTCCAGTAGACATAGGCTCAATTCCGGATAGAAAAGTCGATCGCCTCGTTTATTCGGTGATGATGATACAGTAATTGTGGAATGGTCCAAACAAGTAAATGATATTTTCAAGGCTTTAATTACAAACAATGCTTCAAACAGCTTCAATATCGATGCAATCAATAAGGAACTTGCAGACAGCGTATCGATTGACTGTATGATTGAGAAACCAAATGTTGTTATTCTGGGGGCTGGGAATAGCCCATCAAGTAATGAGAGCATCTTTGAAACATGTCAAGCATGTTTTAATGATCTGGAAATAAAGGAGGGAAAAATAGAGGAGGGAAAAATAAGTGAGGGAGGGCGTTTGGACATTTGGGCAGATCAGGCCATTCATCAGCGGCTGATAAAGTTTAACGACAATAAAACATATAGACAATTGCGAGTTGGTTTAAAAAACAATATTCCTTTAACAAGTCTTCATCGTAAATTCCGTCTTAGTAGAAATTGATTTTGGCCACAAAATAGTGAACACCAATAATAATAAATAAAATGCGAGATCAAAATATTTTATTTTGAAAAATTACATTACTTATTCGACTTTAATGTTAATGTTGCAGATTGAACAATGCCCATGAAGTTCACATGCTTGTTAACGGTAACTGCTGCCGAATATGCATAGACGCCTGGCTTGATTCTTCGAACGCGCGAAATCAATTTCCGTCGCCAATTATTACTAAACCAATAACCAAGAATCCAATGCTCATGAAATTCATATACTTGTGAACGGTAACTATTGCCAACGTGTGTGCAAAAGATTGACGCAGGATATTAAGTACGATTCGAATATGCATCTGATTTGACTCTTCGAACGCGCGAAATCAATTTCCGTCGTCAATTAACGAAAGGAATATCAACAAATATGTAAGTTTCAAAATGCACCTTGTAAATAAACCCATCGAAACTCTCTTGCAAGATACCTCAACCCTAACCCTAGCTGTTATTGAGAACGAAATTTAGAACTATAGCTGGTACTTACGTAAACTCTTTGTAGTTGTAGCTGTAATTAATAGCATTTCAAAGTATATATAAGGGAATGTTAGTGGCATGCTAACAAAGTAGTCTCAGATTTCGCTTTCCCTCTTGTATATATGCATTACTTACGGAATCTTCTTTCGCTCATCTCTCAAAAACGGTTGCTGTAATAAAGAAAGTGATAACAATTAAAAGTTGCTCATGAATATAACTCTTTAAAAGATGGCCGAGAATCCTTGAAACGCTCTCAAATGGCGCTTTGCTAATACATATATATTACTTAGGGAATTTTCTTTCCCCAAAACGGCAGACAAATTTGAAAAGTTGCTTATGAATAGCACTCGTCAGAATTTTGTTTTCGTTCAATTATCCCAAAAAACTGAACGAGAATCTGTTAAATCCGCCTCTTTATGGGCTTTTATTCTTTTAATTACAATATAAAAGATAAAAACAGCTTAAACTGGGCTTTAGCAAGCACCTCGTTGTGAATAAAAGTTCCTCGCGATAGGTACTATAATATAACAAGATCTCTCGTTGTTATAATTTTCGATAATATGAACATTTGGTCCACTTTATCTTGTCGAGAGTGACTGTACATCGGATAATTTTCTGGGGATTGTCGAAAACGTGACTTTTCCGCAAATGTATCACCAAAATTTGGGGTTCTTGCAGATCTATAAAAACGGACACTTTAACCGTCCACTGCCAACTCCTCCCCGACGTCCCAGTCCAAACAAAACTTTTGCAAAACTGACGGAATCAGTAATGTCACATGGAAGATGGGAAAGCACAGCCAAGACTTCTCCAAAAGATATTTTCGTTGTCAAATCTAACATCCTCAAAGGCAACACTGCGCAGCAAAGAAATGATCATATTCACAGTGTACAGCATGAAATTCTCTCGCAAAAAGGACAATCAGGAAGAATTCATGGTGCGGGGGCCGGTGGTGAGGAAAAAGCTGCTGCTGCCAGTGCGCAAAACAAAAGCGTGAAGTCAAAGAGCTATGCCACTCCTTCCTTTTTTTTGAGTGGATGAAGCGGTTTCCGAACCCGCAAACAATTATCGATTCGTACTCTAAATGCTGCACAGTGAAACTTGATAAGTCAGACATGACGGGCTGCGGGGCGAATCCGGTGGTGAGGAAAACGCAGCTGCCGCCATTGCGCAAAACGAAAACGTGAGTTCGAAGAGCTGTGTCATGGATATGCTCTAAAGACGAATCTCCGGTTCTGCGGCAAACGATCTACAGCCGAATTTCTCCAAGTAATAGAACTGCGCCATCGCCCCGGACACCCATAATACGGGTGGCAAATCCGGTAGAAAAAAAAAGCCAGCTACGGAAAAAGTCGGCCATATGGAAGAAGTGGTCGACGAACCGGAAGTAAAAGAAGAACCAATATACGACTATACTATCCTTTCACATACCAGCCGACGCAGAAGCTTGCCAGTTTTATAGAGGATGTTGCTAGACGTCTACAAAACATGGATAGTGGAACCGAAAAATAAATGTGAAATGTCAATGACTGATTTGTAATAGCTTTATTATTATTATGATACCAAAGACTGTACGTAACTATAAGAGATAGCCAGATGCTTTTGGTATACCATCGCGTCTTAAAATCGCAAAATCTATCCAATCTACAACAAATTCTCACTGTTGATTATCAATGTCTATTAGATATAATTACTTTTATTCCTTTATTTCGAATAACAAACTGTCCTCTAGAATAGCTCTTTTATTCTAATAAAGCTCTGATTGGTGATTTATATCATACGTGTCAGTTAAAATCCTGTGGTTATTATTGAATGCGGCCCGAATCTGAGAGTTTAAAAACCGCTATCCGGACTCTCTGTTGCGAACTTAGCCTTGCCCCTAAGTTTGCGTTATCATTGGTTCAGGATATTTATTAATTGCGTTAGTATAGTAAAACCTTTCCCAAACGATAGATTTCCGAAACTAATCCCATCGGATTATAATCGCTGAATATTACTCGAGGTTAAATAAATATCAACGGACTAGCGTATACGATACGATACATTCGTAAGTATTCAAAGCCTGTTAAAAGGTCACTAACTGTTTAGTAGAATTAGCATTAGTAGGCGTTGCCGGTTCCCCGTGATGGTTGGGCCGACGGAGAACTACCCCAGGATCACCACCAAAAAATTTACGGACACATGACTGCAGTGGGTGAATTTATGGAAGCAAATTTTAATTTTTACTAGATTTATGTTAAACTCAAATCTTACATATATAAATAATCACGTGTCCGGGGAAAAATGCCGACGGAGGAGGCATCAACAACATCACTCGTAACCGAACCACAATCTACAACGCGTTTTATAAAATAATAGCGCTTTCTAACCCATTCGTAAACAGATTTTCAACAGACTTTATCTTGTATCTTTCCCCCAAAAAAACCCACTGAAATGTAAATGGTATTGGACGTTTATTAGGAGGAAAGTAACTGATATATCGTCAAATTTGATATAACGTTTATAATACTCACGTTATTGTATTTTGTATACATATTGCAAGTATACTATTGGCAATATTAATTGCTAAGTTTATCTGAAATAGACTAATCGCTTAATCCTAACGATTACAAATTAAAATAGGCTATGAATGAGTTGACGAATAGAACACAACACATTCTATAATATAACTAAATAAATTGGGAAGTTTTAGAGCTAGACAAGTAATTAACATTTATTTAAATTTGATCTAAACGCATTATTAATCACGAACAGAACAATCTGACATTGTACATGTAAAAATTATTTTTACATAATAGTGGCATGATAAATAAATGAAAGAGACCAGTGAGTGTACCAGTAAAATTTGTTTTTACGAATAGATGCAATCAACTTCTGCAAGACTGGTTTATAATTGGATCTTTTCATGTAAAAACGTGAATAAAAACGGTCCAAATATTATTATTGTATCAATATATGAGCAATGGCTTTCCAACAAGCATTTTGCGGCTAATAGCTACCGGTTATTAGTATATAGTATATAGAGTAAGATACTTTAAAATTGAAAGGCGTTTTTGGTATTTAAAACAATTCAAAAGTAAAAGGTTTACATTGTACAAGTTTGATAGTATTGACTGGGATCGATGCAAAGAATGTAAGTTTAATCGTTAGTATATACTGAATTATACTGATTCATTCCACCATTTATTCTCAAATATGCTCCATCAAAGAGCGATTTCAAAGTTTTCAGATACTTAAATAACATTCGCTTGAGATATGGCAAACGCCAATGTAACTGTTAGTAACTGGTTGCCTAAGAATTTTCTTTTGTAAATTAAAAATAGGCCATTACTTTGTAGTAATTCTGTGCATTTCTGCTTTGTAACTATATTATCAACAATGCAATTAATATTATACCCAGAAATAACGTTGACAACGAGTTTAGATGTTCGGGTCTTAATTTACTTTCGAATCTAGCACTGATTTTGTAACAAAGATATAATTTTTTATTTGTTTTGTAGGTTCAAGCAAAACTAAATGACTAATAAGAAATTATAGAGTACAGAGAACCTACCAAACAAAACAACAAATAAATCGTAGATTCCCCGTCTGTAAAGTTCTATTTCCTCTGCGCTTTATTGTTGTATTGCAATGAAAGTCATCTTTGTGAGGCTGCGGTTTGTTTCACAACCTACATTCTAGTCCTTAATTAATTAGGACGTCATACGTAAACGTTTAGTGTGAAAAAAAAAAGCCTTGACTTAATAGATTAACTACCATGAATACTGTAATACTCGTCATTCTTTTTTTGTAAAGTTTCGTTTCGCGTCTCGCCTTCTCATTTCACTCAACCTTTTGTTCATCTCGAATTGCCAACAAATTTTCATATATAATAGGAAATTGCGCCTGATCGATGCTGGTACATAGATAAGTTTGAACAGGTATTCATATTTATAATCGATGGAAGCGGAGCAAGACTAATAAACGTTTGAAGGAATTATAAGCAATTGATGATCCAATAGACAGTCGTTCTGCACAAGTACGCTTGTTATTTAGCGGGACGTTGCGTAAATCTACAGAGTATTACTCCCTGTTAGCATGAATGTTTCTGTTCGACCAAACGAAAGTCCTGGTTAACACTTTCTTTCGAAGGCTTGTTTAGGCGGCCGCTTGGTTTGAAAGTATAACAGTTTAAAAAGTTGCCTGGAAATATTATAAACCTCATATGCTAATTAAATACCAAGTCATTAAACGCACGAACTGTGTATTAGGTCAACGGTATACGGCACATTATGATCAGTTTTCTATTATTATTATGCCACGTATGAATTTGAATCGTAAAATGTCAAAAACTTTGACTAATCAAGTGCCTTCCAGTTAGCCGTTTTTAAGTATCTTGCGCCGATCTCTCCTTTCCACTGATCTCGAATTATATCAGCACCGAACCCCTTGCTTTGTTAGTAACACCTGTTACAGATACTAATAACATTCGTTCTTGGCAAAACTTGTCTGGAACAGCAACTCTCTTAAAAAAAGCTCAGGTATGTGGCTTTTCTCGTTATCTTCGGGCGCACCTTATAATATTGTCACATGTTGCTGATCACTAAACACAGAAAAGCCTTTTACGAACAAGGCTGTGCGTGGCTGGTGCAAATTGCAACAATATTTAAGCCTTTTTCGTGTAAAGATTGGAAAAAAGTTATTTGCATTTGCAAGATTGGGAATTTTTGTATCCTCCGCCCACTTGGAATTTGATAATAACAGCTTGTCTCATCGTTCCGTTGACAATTCAAAGTTAATAGCTTAATTAACGTCTTTGCATCTCCTCAGCTACCAAATTCACCAATATGGCAGTGAATCCCGATACGAAGGCCTGGTTCTTAGACGAAACCAGAGTCATCGACCAACGCATTGCAGAAATTCAAACCAACATAACTCGCATCAACGAGCTCCAAAACAATATCCTCACTGGTACATCTAGCCAGCAAGAAGCTACCAATGCGCGTGAACGAGAATCGATAATGACACACACAAAGTCCATTTTGTTCGAAGTTAAAGATAAAATCAAAACAATAGAACGCGAAAATGCTAGATTACCACGAAATCATCCTGAAATCAATCTTCGTCGCCAACGACATGTTCACCTTCGTGAGAAATTCACCAACGTTCTTGAAGAATATCGTGGCATCGAAGAGGGTTATCGTCAAAAACAAAAGGAAAGAATGGCTCGTCAATACCGCGTGGCCAACCCCAACGCAACACAAGCTGAAATTGACTCGTATCTTAATAATGTATCTAATCAACCCATTTTCGCTACTAGTCTGGTTCGTACCAGTGATGCTCGGACAGCATTGGCAGAAGTGCAGAAACGACACGATGATATCAAACAGATAGAACAGACAATTGGAGAACTGGCTGATTTATTCAATGAGATGCAGTTGTTGGTCGAGGCACAGGATGATGTATTGGTCAACATTGAAGAGAATGTTGACGAGACGCTGATGAAAACGGAACAAGCGAACGAGAATTTAACTACTGCGACTATGAGTGCATTCGCTGCTAGGAAGAAAAAGTGGATTTGTCTAGGAATCTCAATTTTGGTTGCGATTATTGTTATCGCCATACTTGTAATTTATCTCCGTCCAAAAACTGTTAGTCTCACCGGTGATAGTAGTAGTAGTAGTAACCCCAGTACTGTCACCATAGTAAACACAGTGTCCCCGACCCCTACTAGGCGGGCGTGAATGATGGGTTAATTTGAATGAGAATTTGTTTTATTTTTTTCTTTGTACAGATGGAATTTTATTTAGAATGTTGTATGCGCTAATTTATGTAAAATAAATTTTCCTTGTAAAACTTGCGTGCGATTGGGAAAAACTGTTGAATATCAACGCACGTGTTGGATCTTGTATCACATTGATGAAATTCCTACTAAAAAAAAATTTCTTGATAATTTTTGATTTCTCTCGAAAGCATGTCAGACGAAATTATTTGGCAAGTTATAAATCAACAGTTTTGTTCATATAAAGTCAAGTAAATCACTTTCATGACCTTTTCTAGCTATAACCTTTATTTTCTATAACCTTTTTCTAACATAACATTCGACCAATGCTCTTCTGATCTGTTACATTCCAACAGAACCGAAACTCAAAACTTTTGTCGAAATACATATAATGTCACAGGCTTTTGCAATAGACAGTCGTGTCCGTTAGCGAACAGTCGGTATGCGACTATTCGTGAACAAAAGGGTATTTATGCCTTTCGATGCAATGATTGCCAAACCAGTCGATTCTTGTTATTTATGAGACATTCGATTCCCTGCTTTACATAGGAATCATTTATTTATACATGAAAACACCTGAACGAGCACACACACCGGCAAAATTATGGCAACGAATTAAATTATCTAAAAATTATCAGAAAGCTCTAGAAACTGTACGTATAATGCGGCCACGACTATTCACATACACACACACACCCACAAAAGCCTTAATCGCGACAATTTACTATTTTCTAGATCGATAAAGAGTTGGAAGATTGGCCAAATTTTTTAATACATAAATGCAAACAGCGCTTGACGAAGATTACCCAATACCTTATTCGAATGAGAAAATTAAGAAAGAAAGAGGGGTACATGTTGTTCACGCAGGTGCTTTATAACCAGCTTTCATGTCACTAAAAAGTCATTACTGTCATGCAGGCCCGAGTTAATTCCTGTAAGAAAAAAACTCGATCGTCGAGAGGCAACTCGTGAGCGTAAAGCAGAGGCGGCAGCAAGACTAGACAAGGCTATTGAGAAAGAATTAATACACCGGTTGAGATCAAAAGCATATGGTGATGCTCCTTTAAACGTGAATGAGGACGTTTGGAGAAGCGTGCTCGAGGGAGATGAGATTGCGGTTGAAGACGATGTCACAAGCGAGAGCGAAGTAGAAGATCTGGTTGAGGTAGCCCGTTACCCTCTCTTTTTTTTGACGGGATTTTGACATGAAATTAACGATATATTTATATGGGTATTCTAGGATGAGCGTGAATTCGTGTCAGATGTTAGTGACGACGAATCAGTTGATGACATAGAAGATATGCTGAACGAGGTAATTCAACGATCGTTGTCTTGCTATAGGCTATTATCGGAAAGGTCATGACTAATGATGATATGTCATTAATTCAACTTTTAGATGTCTGAAGACGAAGATGACGACAATATTATGACAGAATGTGTAGAATTAGAATACGAATAATCCAGTCCCGTATATAGTATAGAACAGAAAGATCTATCTCACAACGTCTGCCACATTGTGAAGGCTATTAATAAGGCTAATCCGAACAAAAGAGTGATGACTGCCACCACAAGGAAAGAGTTGCCTAATGACACATACGGTATTAGCCATAATCGGTACCATACCAATAAACTCATTTACAACTACAAAACATACCTTGGCCGATAGTCTTTGGAATCATCACCAAATGCACACTATTGTCGGGACTACCGCTCGCCAGGATTGATGATGAATGATCGAAAGCTATGGTTGTTGGCGGAAAGCTGTGAACGTCTGGGAGTCTTAACAAGACCTAACAGGAAGTTGCGGCGTCATTAGGGTCAAAAGAAAAAAAAACGCGGCCATTTATTATCAAAGAGAATAATACATACTCGAAGCGTTCTTGAATCACAGATACCGACGCTTAGATCGGACGATCCGTATGCCAAATACTTTCCATCGTCACTGATGAAAATTTAGTATCAAATATGCTGTCTTGTCATCGCAATTGTTAAAGGAAGCGGATGATGAAATAGTATATACCTTATAGCAAATGTAGTAATAGGTTTGCTCGCGACCGCCTTTGAAGCTACTTTATTCCATGTCCCAACATCCCATTTAACAATGTATGCTCTTCGACGGGAGGATGGGTTCACAACTACATAGAGAAAGCCCGCATACTCGCCTTGGCCATAGCTAAAGAATGTATGTTGTGTGAGCGTATCGTATTTAATGTCGGGAAAAAGACAACAATCATAACGATATCTTATTCTCACCGGCAAGCCCTAAATTGCGCATCGACAGTCTTCTGAAACACAGGACGTTCGATCGTTTGAACAAGCTTTCCGTCCTCCGTTGCCCATACGCCCAAATTCTTTTCAGACAATGCTGTTATCTGGAGTAGCTCAGAGTGAGTTAGAAAATTATAGGTGAAATTCGATTTGTCACTCCTTATGCAAAAAAGTAATAATGAATACCTGTTTTCCATCAGAACTAAAGTCAAGATCATATATTTCTTCTTTATTGTAGTTGATCGGAGGAAAGGCCGGGGCCAATGACGGATATTTGTATACCGTAAGCTGAACCGAAGAAAAGAATACCGCTCGATCTCCAATTGTAAAAGAACAGATTGCATAATATTTATGATTCGGATCCATTACCTTACTATCCGTCCCGCCCAAGGCCAAAAGTTTACCGTCTCTACTAAACCTAATTACTTTCTAGTCTCTGAAGAATCAATATCACAAGCAAGCGTATTGATAGGGGTTCAAATAAGATAGCAACAGGACCAACCAAATAGTCATAAGATTTTTTGCTTGACGATGCTTGTTTCTTGTCAACCAGATCAATTCTAAAAAGTTTTTAATATTATTTGTGAAATAAATTAATCCATAAATGAAACGCAATATAATGTAAAGACAACTTACTTTTCGTTGGAGTAATTAAAAATTCGACAGCTAAAGTTTTCACCAGCGGCTATACTTTCTTCTTTGCCGTTAATTCCACAAACAACTACATTATCCTGACCAGGAAAATCGATGTTTTAGATTCCTATGGCACGAAGGGAAACGAGAGGACTAGTTTTGGAATGACCAATTTTAATTCACCTCTGGATGAATTGCCATGCTCATTGGAGCATCTTCTCCTTTCTCCAGCTTATATTCTGTCAGTTGTTCGATTTTTTTCGCCGTTGGGTCAACTTTATAGAGTGCCTAATACGGATTGCAGTCTTACTTAATATACATCATATAGTGATAGGACTACACAGTGTAAACAGGAAAATGCATCATACGAGCTTATTCTGCACCCCCGACCTAGACGGGCCGCCCCCACCTCCGACCAAAAGTTCTCCCGCAGGACTAAACGCTACATATTAATATCTCAAAATTAGTTGGATTAGGATCGAAAGCTAAACAGCCGGGGCTCTTTTGATCTTTACCTGTACAATAAACGGGAAACTCGGTGCCCGCTGTAAAATGTTCAGCTTTTGGCATTTTTATTATTTATGTTATAGTGAAAGACGAGTTGAATGCTCTGATCTGATAGTTTCACAATACTTAATATTAATACTAATACGTGAGAAATTAGATAAAATACGTAGTTTAAAAAAAATTTCGCTTTTTTTCTAGAATAATAATAATGAAATCAAAAATTGCTGAAATAGAGAAAGATATCGTTACGGAAGACGCAAGTGAGGAGGAAGTGGAGGAAGAAGTAGGCGAAGAAGTAGACGACGAGGAAGAAGAAGAGGAAGACGAGGAAGAAGAAGAGGACGAGGAGGAAGAAGAGGACATGAACGATAGTGAAAGAGAAGAGGAAGAAGAGAAAGAGGAAAGGATCAAAGAAAAAAAAAGGTCTATTAAAAAACCAAATGGTTCAGCAGCAACGAAATTGTCAGTCGCCTCTAATACTCCCACTCCAGACGCGGATCAAGAAGAATTACCTCTTGACGATCTAACAGGATCAGAAATGGACGAAGACATAATTCCAAAACAAAAGCTAATCATTAATAACAAAGTATGTTGCATTAATAATTAACAGTCTTTACGAGCCAAGGATGTATTGAATTGGTGAATGATGCATTTTTCAATACAATTAATTAGACCGCACTGAAAGAACTTTATAAAGAAATAAAACTTGACGTTCCATGGATCGAGACACAAGCCGTTACTTTGGAGGAACCGACTCAAATCAAAGACGTAAATAATGACATGGAGCGCGAGCTTGCATTGTAAGTATGTAATGCACTGCTCCAGCCTGCTCTCCACCCTCTCGCACGCGCCTCGTAATGATACGCTCCTCTCTTTTTTTTTTTCGGAAAAGTTACAAGCAAGCTCTTCAGTCAACTGCAACCGCTCGATCTCTCTGTCAATCCCTCTCTGTCCCATTTTCTCGTCCTTCTGACTATTTTGCCGAAATGGTAAAATCTGACGAACTCATGTCACGCGTACGACAACGACTTCTTGATGAAGATGCACAAATTAAAGCTAGCGAACAGGCCCGGAAGCAGAGAGAGTCAAAAAAGTTTGGAAAGAAAGTACAGTTTGAAAAATTACAAGAACGGCAAAAGAAGAAGAGCGAGGAACTAGAAAAAATAAAAACAATGAAAAAGAGTGAGTGTCGAAAGATGCGCAAGGAATTCGATTTCGAAGAAAAAGAAAATAGAATAACCAAGTAAATCGTGCACATGGTTTCGTCGATTTGTAGAGAGGAAAGGAATAGAAGATACGGCAATAGATGATGATTTTGAAATTGCGTTGGAGGAAGCCGCGAGAGAAGACCGGCCAGTGAAGAGACAGAAAATTGGAAAAAGTACAAAACGAAGCAGAAAGGTAAGAGCAGTGTTTGGGTATGCATAGACGTCGGATAGCCAACACACTTGGATATACACAATGGACAAGAAATCAATTATATAATTCGTTACTGCGCGTCATACAACGAATTCCTATCAATCATCGACGTGTTTACGTTAATCAAGTTGTTCAGACCCGTGGCCAAATTCATTCAGTCCCTCTATCTCAGAAGGCTACTCCAATTGTCAAAAATTTCGTATGTTTACTTCGAAATATATGGTATAATCGTATCACCTTCGTTCTGTAGGATGCCAAGTTCGGTTTTGGTGGAAAGAAGAAATACGCAAAATCTAACACAGCACAGTCAACAGCCGATATATCAGACTTTAATCCCCGGGCTATGAAGGGCGGCTGGGGAGTAAGTGTGAACAACTAGTTTCAAGTTTTCCTAGTGCAACACGACTTTTAACGACATCTCTTGACATAAATCGACATTCAGGTAAAGAAGAAACCCAAGAATTATCGACTTGGAAAGACACGAAGACAAGCCATGAAGAGTCGGAAACGAGGTTGAGCAAAAGAGAACAAGACAAAATTTTGTCCACTTAAACTTTATTACATACTTATCAACCAAATAAATTTTAATATGAAATTCGATCTCCATTACTTTCTATAACTAATTTGCATTGAGCATATTAAAATTTGTGGCATACAATTTCTACGTTACAATTTGCCACACATTTTCAAGTCTGGACTGTTGGACGGCCAGTCCATGACTTTCAACACGTGAAGTGTGCTTAGGATCATTATCCTGTTGTAGCTCCCAGCGATTCCATACAACTCTTTAAAAGGCCCATCCATAATGTCAGTGAAATAAAACGAATGTGTCTTACCTTTTAAAGAAATTCCACCCCACGCCATGATCTTCTGGCGTGTCTTGGTAGGCATCGGATGGGCCTATTGTTATCTTTATGCCATCGTGAGTAACGGCTGAATCCAATCGAAAATCAAACGATTCTTCGCCTGAAGAAATTACCGGTGGATTAACATCTTGTTCTTAAAAAGATCGAAGGCCGTCCCATCCGTAAATATTGTTTTGTTCCAATTCTTGTTTATGTGGGCTCGTGCCCTCGAACGAAAAATGTCTATCAATCCAACTATCCGCCGTCCCTTCCTCTCCACGCTTTCTCTCGGTTAGCTTCGTAGACCATAGAACATCGTTGTTTTCCTGGAAACAACGTCGCATATGCCTCGACAGACATATGCGAGATTGATATTGTGCTTATTTTTAGCTAATAGGGCAAGGTGTCGTGTCGTATATCTCATTTGCTGAAACGGCACCATTTTGCCACAAAAGTGAAATAGTTTATGCTTTTATGGTGCACCACCCGTGTAACGAAAACCGTCCAATAAAATTCAATAAGTTAATATCATGTGATATACACCAAATCGTTTGTTTTAAACCGAAATTTTTTCTATTTTAGTATGAAAATTATAAAATTTCTTGGGGGATAATTTTTAGCCTTTTTTTAGGAATTTGGGTTAGGATTTAGGATACCATTTGTTAGTAAAAGAGTATAAAGGCATTAAAAGGAAACCCAAAAGACCCCAAAATTTCGTTTTAATCCGATTTCGTTTTAATCCGCCACAATAATTGTCCCGACACACCAACTACAAGTGCAAGCAGGAAATATTGGATAGTATTCCCATTACAACAATCCAAAAATTGCAAAAAAGTCATAGAGATATGAATGAGGCTTAGAAGGAAGGATTGCTGAATGGGCAGTAAAAAAGTATAAATCACAGCGTCGATTGAAATTTCGCCTCGATTTTTTATAGAGGGAACGTCACATAGGTTACGCAATTTACTAATTGGAAGTGATAGTAATCGTCTTTACTAGATGTGTTTCAATTTTTTGGAAATGCTTATATATTATTATAAAACGTACTCCAACTTTAAAACCTTTGAGCTCAATGTAGAAGCGCTTTTATGACAAACCCTCCAATAGCTTTGTAAAGCATGTCGCGATAAACATAATTACTGGCGGATTTTCAAAAAAAAACTGGCTCTATGTTGAGCTAAAAAGTTTAAAGACAGGTGGTCTTATTGTCGAGTATAAAGTTGGTGCACCATACAAAGTTTTAAACGCGAAACCAAATAAGACAACGAAAGTTTATAGTTATATGTTTAATAAAATATAAACAATCAAGTTTTAATATAGAAATCGCGTAAACAAACCCGGTTTATTGTTTTTTGATTATAATTAATTTATTGCCATTTTTTTCGTTAATCTTCTTCTGCTTAGCATAGAATTCGCCCGTGGATCACCGTTTTTGCCAAAAGTTTGATTTGTTAGCAGTCGGTCGACGGGCTTTAGCTGTCACTTATCATATAATCAATGTTAAAAGATTTTCTACAGGTAATCTATTCGTCATATTATTACGGGGTTTTTTCAGCATAATTACCTCCCAATTCAAGCCTTGCACAACTTGACCGAGGGTTTGACTACCACTCAGCCAAAATGTATGAATAGGAATATACTCTGCACTTTCATGTTATTGGGGTGGACCAAAACGGTCATGCTATCGAGATACTTTACTACATAAGTCTTATTGTTGACTAGCGAAAGTATTTACCGCGTGTTGATACTACTTATATACGGAAACAATTGTGACAGTCGCGATATGAAGTTGTATTAGGCAATATATTGATATCGACTAAATTTTGTCTGAACTTATATGGTAGACAAACACAAATACTGATAAAATGTCTATTAATACAACTTTGAATGTCCGCTCGCATAATAAGTTTACAACTGTTAATAGTGAGGACATCACAATATTAATATGGTGTATCTATGAATCATGGTGCGTTAATATTAATAGTACAAGCGATAATAGTAATAGTAGAAATTATCCAATCATGTATAACAATGATGAATAGTGAAAGTTACAAGTAAACAACTTTGCATATTTAATGAAATCGACAATGCTAAGCTAGTTTTGTCGCTGTGATTTCATTGTATCTAACAATTCCTGCTGATTTTTTGGCTACACTTTTCTCTTTGTTGGCAGAATTAACATTTGTACTCCATTATTTTGCAATTAATTACAAGTCAGCGGACGACTTTATGTTCTTTATAATAGGACAATACCTGGTATAACCATGACAAAACATTAACTATTAAACAATGATGGAATGCATCATGACGTAACGTTAATACGCTGAATGATATTGTCTTCTTTATTACCGTAGAGCACTGAATATAGTACCCCCCCTAAAGTAGTACCCCCCTAAATTAAGACCCGGGTACAATTCAAAAATTTTTAGCGAAATTTTTGAAATATACCCGGGTATAATTCAAGAATTTTTGGCGAAAGTTTTAGAAATGTACCCGGGTACAAATATCATATGTCACATGATACACATACTAACACATACAATACAACAGTATGAAGTTCATTATTATTTATCAACGATATGTACTTCAGTACAAAAAACACTCTTCGATGTACTTAACGCGTAATAAATGTGACAGATTAAAACGACATCGGATTAAACCGACTTTTTTCCTATTTTAATATGAAATTGTTAGAAAATTTTTGGGGTTAATTTTTTAGATTTTTTTTTTTAAATTTTGAACTAGAATTAGGGTGGTGTTTGATAATAGAAGAGTATACACTCACTGGACAAAAGTCTACGTAATTTTTGCCGATCAATTAGTAAAACATATGAAAAAGCTATTTTTTCAAA